AACTTTGAACATACACTAAAAACCTATTTTCTCGAGCCTTAATGTCGACTCGAGCCAAATTAAATGTGACAATTGAAAATTAATATTTTCTTTATTTAATTACATTGATAATATAATTATATAAAGTAGAGTTAATTCTTTTGGCTTGCCGTGCAAGAGAAGCTACTTACCAATGTTGAGAGGCGGCAGAGGCACCTCACAGATTCATCAACCTGCTCATTGTGTGGGCGCGCCGAAGAGACGACCCTCCACTGTCTCCGTGATTGTGCATGGGCTTCCCAGGTTTGGCGGCGCCTGCTCCCCAACCAAAATTATACATTTTTTAGCATGCCTTTGTGTGAATGGATGATGCAGAACTTACAAAATGGTTTAAATATTGGTGTTGTGGCCTGGGAAATAATTTTCGGCGTCACAGTGTGGCAACTTTGGCGGGGCCGCAATGAACATATTTTTTCAGGTGTGGATGTTAATGTGGAACAGCGAGTTCGAGATGCGCGTCATTTTGTTCATGGCATTAAGGCCTTCACCTCTGCTGGGAGGTGTCTAGGAGGTCTTGGAATTAGCCGAGATATCCGGTTTATTTCCTGGGAAGCTCCTGACTTGGATGCTGTTAAAATCAACACTGACGGCTCTTTCTTGGCTTCATCTGGGATGGCGTCCGCTGGAGGTTTGGTGCGCGATGCCGGTGGCCGGTGGCTTGGGGGTTTCGTGATGAATATTGGTTATTGCTCTATTACAGGGGCAGAGCTTTGGGGGCTTTTCCAAGGATTATCACTAGCTTGGGACATGGGTTATCGAAAAGCTATTGTTGACGTGGATAATAGAAGCGTGGTGGAAATGGCTGATGGTGGCCAAAGGGACAACCTTGGAGTGCATGAAGCTTGGTTCAGGCCATTCGCGAACTGCTCCATCGGGCGTGGGATGTGAGAGTTACGCACTGCTATTGAGAGACCAACTTTGCTGCTGATTGCTTGGCGAATCTTGCTCACAGTTGTCCTGGGGGATATCAACGTTTATTTGACCCACCATTAGTAGTTCGTCCGTGGTTACAACACGACCTTATTGGCGTGGCCTATCCACGGTCCGTACCTACTTGATGGTCTTAGGCTTTCGCCTCCTTTTTTGTACCAAAAAAAAATACAAATGTGTGTCCAGTTTTGTATTGATTTAAATTTATTTATATAATATTATCTAAAAAAATAAAGAGAAACTACAACGGACCATCAACCACAAAAAAACTCCTCAGCAAAACAACTAAAGGGGGTAAGACAAGCCAAACAAAAATTAAATCAAACTTTAACAAAACAAATATACACAGTGCCAATAAAACCACTTCACCCAACAAGCACGAGACAATATTAACAAGCTTACGAGAAGCTAATTCAAGTCCCTAGGCTTTTATCATCTTCTTTAAAACACAAAGGTAAGAAACTGGTTATATTCTCTGTTGTCCTCACACTTCAAAAAATTCCAACCTTTCTTGAAAAGTTTCATCCACTGTTTCATTAGTTGTTAACCATATTAAAAAATAATAAATAAAACCCGCAAATTACGCACCTTCCACAACCACCATAATAAGTATAATAAATACATCGTCAGTTGTTGCATTTATGAGTAGATTCTGATGTTTTTTCATTCATAGATCTCGAGTTACTATAATATTTTTATATGTTTAATTTTATTCGCACGTTATATTTTTTGAGTTAATTATTATTTGGATGGATCTTTGTACTATGATGTTTTTATATTAAATTTTAGCGTATTGAAGCTTTTTTTTTTTTTTTTTT